ACATGTATGTTGTGCTATAAATGAAAGCTACCCTTATTGAAATTTTGAGGTTCGGTATCTGCTTCTTGAGTATTGTACTGAATATATTCAGTTAAATTATACTGTAGATATTGTATATAAATTTGTATGCCTCCTATCACTCTTTTGTATTTGAAGTTCAGTAAAGATTTTCAGGATTATCATATTGGTGCATTACATCTTCAGTAAGGAAGAGAGAAATTTGAGATGTTCAGTGGAGTCATCGCTCACTGACTCCAGGGTGTGGGGGAGTAGTCTTCATTACCTGTCCTCCATCTGGACTGTTTTTTATAATGCAACTAAAGTCTGCCACTGTTTTACCAGTTCTACACGTGCATGCATAGCTTAGGAAGGTTTATAGGTAGCTAGCAGTATATTTTTTCCTAGGATCAGTGAAGGTGCAAGGGAACAATAGGTAGGGTCCACCGGAAGAGAAGGGTCTTATGGTGAAAGCACTGGACTGTGCTGCTTCCTTCCATATGCTAGACCAGGGGTGGGCAAACTATGCCCCATGGGTTGGATCCGGCCCCTCAGGGCTTTGGATCCAACCCATGGTGCTGCCGGCATCACGTCCCTGTGGCCCCCGGGCAGGGGGGGCAGAGGGCTCCATGCGTTGCCCTTGCCTCCAGGTACCACCCCCCGCAGCTCCATTGGCCGTGAACGGGGAACCGCAGCCAATGGGAGCTTTGGGGGAGGTACCCGGAGGCGCAGCAATGGCAGCGCACGCAGAGCCCTCCGACCTCCCTCCCCCAGGGGCGGCAGCGCTTCCTGGAGCGGCGTGGGGCCAGGGACAGGGCAGGCATTCAGGGAGCTTGCCTTGGCCCCGGTGAGCGCCACTGCCACCCCGGAGCTGCTTGAGGTAAGCGGCGCCGGGCCGGAACCCAAACCCCTCCTTACCCCACCCCCCAACTCCCTGCCCTAAGCCCCCTGCCTGCATGTTGCACCCCTCCTGCACCCTGAGCCCCCTTGTACACCCCACACCCCTCCTGCACCCCAACCCCCTGCCCTGAGCTTCCTCCTGCACCCCAACCCCTTGCCCTGAGCCCCCTCATACACCCCACACCCCTCCTCTGCCCCAATCCCTTGCCCTGAGCCGCTTCCTGCACACCACACCCCCTCCCACACCCCAACCCCCTGCTCCGGCCCTGCATACAATTTCCCCACCCAGATGTGCCCCTCGGCCCAAAAAGTTTGCCTACCCCTGTGCTGGATGAAGGTGTGTATGGAAGGAAGAAGGGCCTTGTCTCTCATTAGTTCATATATAGCAGAGTACAGCATATTTCTACTGCTAGCAGATAATATTCAGCTGTCTAGCAAATAGCTGAAAATAGTGGATTTAAAAAAAAATTGCATACGAAATCTATTTTACAAGAGCTTAAAGTTGCAAGATCAGGAACTTACAGCTCAGGCTACCTAGGAACCTTAACACTGATTCCTTGTGTGATTACTAAGAGGTCTCATTACATTTTTCCCCCCTGCAGGATCCCTATTTTGCTAAATGTGAGACATCTGGGCCTGGTTTCTCAGAGTAGTAGTATATAGCACTTTGTATGTTCGAAGCACAGCTTCAATTGACTTCAATTGCAGGTGTTAGTACTCAATTCTTGCAAATCCAGTCCCAGGGCCTCTCATTGGGCATCCAGAAAATGAATACACAGTTTATGGCTATCTGTGTGAAAATTTTGGTTTAGTAACTTGCCCAGCATCACAGAGGAACTCTGTGGCAGAGGCAGGGATAGAATCCTGTTCTCTAGAGAACATTCAAATATCTTAACTATGAGACCATCTTTTCTCTTCCTGCAACTTCTCCCTCATTCACTACATACTTCCATCTTCTGCAACGAATGAAGTAGGGATCCTATAGACAACACTCCTTCACTGTATAACCCAAATTCATTCAACAAGCACCATTCGTCCTGGACATTGAATAAGGGATCCTGAGGGAAACAATGGTATGCGACCATGTCATTAGACTATAGAGTAATATATATGCACAAGGGCCCTAATTAAAATTGCAGGGGAAACCTTAATTCTGGCATTTCCTAATTTTTGAGTGCTTGACTTTGCAACCCTAACATTCTTTAATATAGGATTTTTACATATTTCTATATAAATGACATGGGAATTTGATAAGATAGGACTTGCTCACCTCCTAAGGGTGCCAGGAAGCTGGTTTTTTAACAGAATGCCTGCTTGAAAAGGTGGTGGCTCTGGTCAGCACAGCTGACCGTGCCACTAAAAGTCCTATTGGCTGTAGTGCCAGCTGGGCGGGCAGGCTCCATGCCTGCCTCTGCGCAGCACCTGGGAAGTGGTCAGCATACCCCTCTGGTGCATAGGCAGAGGAGTGGCAAGGGGGGCTCAGCGCGCTGCCCCCACCTGCAGGCGCCACCCTGAGCGCTGGCTCCACAGCTTCCATGGGCCGGGAACTACAGCCAATGGGAACGGTGGGGGCATCACATGCGGGCAGTGTGTGGAGCCCTCTAGCCACCCCTCTGCCTAGGAGTCACAGGGACATGCCACTGCTTCCCGGGAGCCGCCTGAGGTCAGAGTTGCCCAGAGCCTGCACCCCAAGCCCCCTCCTGTGCCCCAACCCCCTGCCCTAGCTCTGAACCCCCTCTCGCACCCCAACCCCCTGCCCTAGCTCTGAATCCCTTCCTGCACTCTGAACCTCTTGGCCCCAGCCCAGAGCCCCCTCCTACACCCCAAGCCCCTCATCCCTGGCCCAACCCCAGAGCTCACACCCCCTCCCAACCCCCTGCCTGGTGAAAATGAGCAAGTGAGAGGGTGGGGGAGAGTGGGCAATGGAGGGAGGGGGTGGGGGGAATGGAGTAAGCGAGGCAGGGCAAGAGTGTTTAGTTTTCTGCAATTAGAAGTTGGTAACCCTACCTACCACTGAAAATACCTGCATTGGAATATTGCCAGGTCCTGGGAGCTAACATTTCACTCCTGTGAAAGGTTCCATAATTATTTAATGTGGTTAAAAGTGCTACAAAGGGTAAATTTTTTAGAAGAGGAAATAAGAGTAATGTACTGCTAAATTAATATAAGCAAAGGTCAAAACAGTTTCAATGCCCTTCCATTAGGGGTTTGCATGAATTTGTCTAAATCAATTTAAACTGCTCCACTTGTCCGGTACAAACAAAGCCTGAGGTTATGGAATGGAAAAGTGCATTTTATTTTATAAACATCACTACTGCCCATGAAAATCTTCCTGCTTTGCATCCATATTCTTGAGGTCTGACCGATGAGTGAGAGGAACAGTGAATAGTTTTACCTTACCATCAAGATCCGATTCATGCATTCATCTTTTGATACAGAAAGTAAAATGCTCAGATACACAATTTCACAAGCAGAAATTTTGGGCTGCTCATTATAGGAAACAAAAAGGGTAAAGCACTAAAAAACGTTCTTACCATGGCCTGGTGCATAAAGCACTAGACCGGGGTCTCAAACACGCGGCCCGCAGGGTTGTTTTCTGCGGCCTGCGAGCTCCTCGTGCCCCCCCCCCGCGTTTACCTAGAGTGGCTCCAGCCCGACGCGCACCGGGGGAAGGGCAGGCTCACTCCCTGCCTGCTCCCTGCCTGCCCTGCCGCTCCAGGAAGCGGCCGGAACGTGGGGAAGGGGGGGCACAGGGCTCTGTGTGTTGCTCTTGCTTCAGGCAGTGCCCCCAGCAGCTCCCATTGGCTGCAGTTCCCCGTTCCCGGCCAATGGGAGCTGCTAGGGGTGGCGCCTGAAGCAACAGCAACACACAGACCCCTGTGCCCCTCCTCCCCCAGGTTCCGGCCACTTCCCGGAGTGGTGCGGTGACAGGCAGGCAGGCAGGCAGCCTGCCCTGCCCCCGGTGTGTGTCGGGCTGGAGCCCGAGCCCCTGCTGTACCCCACTCCCCTCCTGCACCCCACACCCCAACTCCCTGCCCTGGGCCCCCACCACACCCCCCACTGCTTCTGCCCTCCCTGGGGGCAGAGTTGGGGTGGGGATTTCAGGGAAGGGGTTGGAATGGGGGCAGGGCCTCATGGAAGGGGTGGAGTGGGGGCGGGGCCAAGGGTGGTGGGGGGGAGGTGTCAGTAATGCGGCCCTCGGCCAATGTACTAGTCCTCAGGTGGCCCTCGTGGTCATTTGAGTTTTAGACCCCTGCACTAGACTAAGCTTTAGGAGACCAGGGTTCTATTCTCTGGTCTGTCACTACCCAGCTGTGTGACTTTGAGCCAGTTCTTTCACCTCCATTTCCTCTCCCACTCTTTAGCTTGTTTATTTAAATGGCCTCCTCTGCGAAGAGCTTACAGTGTTTAGGCTATTTAACCAGTACCTAGCCCAAAAATGGCACCCTGCTTTAAGTGGGTGCATAATGCTAATGTACTACAAATAATAAATACGTTTGGCTTATTGTCCATATGCTTTGCTATAGTCACCCCCTACATCCTACTGCTACCTTTCTGCCAAGCTTTCACAAAAGCAGGGCTGTAGGTCAGATAAAACAGGTGGCGAGCTGCTTCCTTACAGTTGCACTGACATTTCCAATGTCACTCATTAGTCAGTGCCCCAGCTCATTTGCTATGCTAATGCAGGTGCCCTCTATATTTGCTTGCATCTGAAGAAGTGAGGTTTTTACCCACGAAAGCTTATGCCCAAATAAATCTGTTAGTCTTTAAGGTGCCACCAGACTCCTTGTTGTTTCTAGATTTGCTGTTTCTGGTTGTTGAGCTATGGCGCTGCATTTGTTCTAAAGCTTCCCCACTCCCTCCCTCCCAAGCTACTGGGGGAACAACGTGACTCGAAAGCTAAATCGACCGCCGGTGGATCGATCTCAGAGCGTCGATCCCTGCCGTAGTGTAGACCTGCCCGAAGAGAGCTAAGGGGGCGGAGCCAACGGCCGAGCCCCAACCGCTCTCGGAGTGGCCAGAAATGCTGAATGGGGCGGAGCCTCCCCCTCCGCGAGGAGCCTCAGCAGCGGCCATCTTGGTACGTAGGGCTCCTTCGGCTGTGGGCGGGGCAACCAGTGAGAGATTCGGGAGCCTGATGGGTGTGGCCCGGGGTCGCTGAGGGCAAAGGGGAGACCACGAACGGGGGGCCCCGAGGCGAGTTCACCCCCCCACACCCGTAGTTCCGACTCGCCGAGCGGTGCTGGGTCTCAGCGAGCCGCCGCGAGGCAGAGCCGAGCTAGCACCATGAGCGCCGAAGCCGCTGACCGGGAAGCGGCCACTTCCAGCCGGCCTTGCACCCCGCCGCAGACCTCCTGGTTCGAGTTCCTGCTGGAGGAGGCGCTGCTGGAGACGCACCTGAAGAAGCCCTGCCCTGGTTAGTACCGGCAGGGCTAGCGGGCGCTGCGGGGTCGGTTTGCGGCCGGGGGCGGCCTACGCCTTGGGAGCAGCTGCCGGCGGGGGTTGCTCAGTGTCTCACATGAAGTGACGGGGGCGGCCGTTGGGCTCGCGCGGGAGCTGAGCTCCGGCGGGCCCGCCCCCGTCTCGCTGCGAGGGACCAGCGGCGCGTGCCCAGCTGTGACGCGCTGGCTAGAAAAAGGCGACGGGGTGACTGGCCCGGCCTCGGCGGGCTTCGCTGTCCGGGGCTGATGGTCTGGCGTCATTTTTGAACCACTAGATTTGTATGTTAAGGAGCCAGAAATCAATAGGTAATGAGTTTAAAACCGACATAAGGAAGTGTTTCACACAATGCATAGTCCACCCGTGGAACTTGTTGCCAGAGGATGTTGTGAAGGCGAAAGCTATAACTGGGTTCAAAAAAGAATTGGCTACGTTCATGGATAGGTCCATGAATGGCATGCTCTGGGTGTCCCTAGCCTCTGACTGCCAGAACCTGGGACTTGACAATAGGAGATGGATCACTTGATAATTGCCCTGTTCCGTTCATGCCCTTTAAAGCACCAGGTACTGGCCACAGTCAGAAGAGAGGATACTGGGCTACGTGGACCATTGGTCTGACCCAGTATGGCCGTTCTTATGTTCTGTTGCTCCTATGAGTGCATCCAGTCTCCACCATTTCTTGTCTTCCTTTTTACAGCCTGCCTCATTCTCTCAAGCCTGTCTATCCCTTCATCTCAGTGTGAAAGTGCATAAACTAACCAAAGCAAGTGCATTTGTAACCTTTGTCTTCCCATCCCTTTCCTATATTGTCTGATGTCTCATTTTGTCAGTATTTACACTGTAAGTATTAGACACAGTCCCTGCTACTAGTTTAGTTTTGTAAAGTGCCATACATGATCAAGGTACTGAACAAATGATAAATAACGTTAAAGTACTGCAAGAAGCCTGCTTGTTACAAGGCATGTTTAGGAGGAGACAACGTGTTGATCCTAGATCAATTTTGGGATGACTGCCAGCAAGGCTTTCAGGATATAGGATTGCCTATCCAGTTGAATCACAATAGATGGCAGTCATATGGCCCAGTGGTTGCTATGAGCTCAGCTGCAGGAGGCAAAAAGACATAAAATACTTCCAGAGGTAACAATTGACATCATACTGAAGACTAGCTGCATATGCTGTATAGGTAGAAAATAGAAGTTTTGGACACTGTTTATGTTTATATTTGCTAAAACCTGAAAAAATGTATTCATGTTCTTTTGTTACTTATTAAAATATTGCTGCTCTGAAGACATCACCATAATATGCTCACACACACACAAAATCATATTTTTCATTCTCACATTTTAAAGTCTTCCATAGCACTGCCTCTGTTTACATCTTGTTGGTCACCTGCTGCTACACTTCTACTCAGGCTCTGTTTTCTGCTCATTACTTTCCTCCATGCTTCTTTTATTTGTCTTTCTCAAGCACTTACATACTCAGGGCCAGCTTTAGGCCAATTCAACCAATTCCCCTGAATCGGGCCCCGCGCCCAAGCCCTGGTACAGCGTACCGGCAAGAGCTGGTGCACCGTACCGGGGTGGCCCGGCTTCCCCAGGGGCCAATTTAAAAGGGTTTAAAAGGTCCATGCCCTTTAAATTGCCACCAGAGCCCCACTGCTGGAGCCCTGGGGTAGGGGTGAGGGGCTCCTTCGGCTTTTTAAAGGGCCGTGACGGTAGAAGCAGGAGAGCCCCAGGCCCTTTAAATAGCCCCCAGAGCCCTGGGATAGCGGGGGGCTCGGGGCCTGTTTAAAGGGCTGGGGCTCCAGCTGCCTCTGCTGCACCCCCTGCCCGCACCAGCCCCGCACCCTCTGCCCTGCCCGCAGCCAGCCCCTGCCCTACCTCCAGCCCCTGCTGCATCCCCTGCCCTACCTCCAGCCCTGCCCCCCCGTCCTGCCAGCACCAGCCCTGCACCTCCTGGCCACAGCCAGCCCCTGCCGCACCCTCTGCCCTGTCTCCAGCCAACCCCTGCTGCACCCCCCTGCAGCCCTGCCCGAAGCCAGCCAGCCCCACCCCCACCGCCCGCACCAGCCCTTCACCCCCTGCCCTGCCTGCAGCCAGCCCCGCACCCCCTGCCCTGTTTCAAGCCAGCCAGTCCCGCACTTCTCTGTCGCCAGCCCTGCCGCACCCCCCTGCGGCCCTGCCTGAAGCCAGCCAGCCCGCCCCACACACCCCTGTCTCCAGCCAGCCCCGCAGCCCTTGCCCTGCCTGCAGCAAGACCCTACCTCCAGTCAGCCCCTGCCCTGCCTCCAGCCAGCACTATGTCCACTGGTGCCCTGCAGTTCCCAGGGCAGTAACCCTGCACACCTGCTTCAATGAGGGGGCAGGGAGCAGCTGGGACCCACACATGTGCACGCCCCCCCAGGGAGTGGCGGGGACCCCCACATGTGAAACGGAGCTCATTAATAACCGATCAACAGCATATGTGACGCAATGTACATAATATATAATTTTATTATTTATATAGTTATGGAAAGTAAATAATACACGGAAGAAATGAAAGGGTTTTTTTTACAGGGTTTTTTTTTTTTTTTTTGGTTAGTCATCCCTACCGGGGCCCCGCCGAAAATGTTCGAATTGGGCCCCGCACTTCCTAAAGCCGACCCTGTACATACTTTACTTTTCTTACATGAGGAATATCTTTCATGAGCCCACATGCTGTGCTATTTGTCTCTGTCAGATTCCTCCTTAAAGCCCACCTTTTCCTACAGCGGGGGTTGGCAACCTTTGGCACACGGCCTGTCAGGGAAATCTGCTGGCGGGCCAGGACGGTTTGTTTACCTGCAACCTCCGCAGGTTCAGCCGATCGCAGCTCCCACTGGCCGTGGTTTGCCGTTCCAGGCCAATGGGGGCTGCAGGAAGTGGCGGCCAGCACGTCCCTTGGCCCGTGCTGCTTCTCCTGACTTGAACTCTATAACACAGAATTAGGACTCTCAAACGATTTTTTAAAAAAATTGAGATTAAAAAAAAGTTGTGATTAATCGCACTGTTAAACAATAATAGAATACCATTTATGTAAATATTTTTGCCAATATTTTTGGTTTGGTATGTGTTGGGGGGGAAGTGTGTGCGAGAAGCGCTGTCTCTTTAAGCAAAGAGTTCAGGAGCCTGAATTCTTTTTCAGCCAGCAGCTCTCACTCCTGAGCCATCCTCAACAGACAGGATGCCCCCCTACCCCTACCTGTGTACCTGGTCACTGTTGAGCTGGGGTCGGGGAGCAGGGGGAGCCTAACTTCAGCCCCTTGCATCTCCTCTGCGCAGCAGACAGACGGAAGTCTCCTTGTTCAGAGCAGCTTGGCCAGGGGTGGCTCCATTGGGGAAGGGGGAGAGGAGGCTGGAGCAGGGTGGCAGAAGGAGGGGCACCCCTGCCCTGACATGCAGCAGTGCCTCTCTGAACATGGTGCCATGGGTAGTGGCCCCCCTCACCCAGCGTCTCCCTCCCCGCTTTGATGCTGGAGTCCCATCTCCAGAGGTGTGCGATTAACTCTCATTTTTTTTAAAAAGTGTTAATTGCAAAAAGGAAGTACTACTTCACACAACACGCAGTCAACCTGTGGAACTTGTTGCCAGGAGATGTTGTGAAGGCCAAAATTATAATTGGTTCAAAAAAGAATTAGATAAATTCATGGGGGGATAGGTCCATCAGTAGCGATTAGCCAAGATGCCCAGGGATGCAACTACTTGCTCTGGGTGTCCATAAGCATCTGACTACCAGAAGCAGGGACTGGACAACAGGGGCTGGATCACTTTATAATTGCCCTGTTCTGTTCGTTCCCTTTAAAGCATTTGGTATTGGCCACTGTCGGAAAACAGGGTACTGGGCTAGATGGACCAGTGGTCTAACCCAGTGTGGCCATTCTAATGTTCTTACATTGAACCTTGCTCAAAATCAGGTTTTAATCTTTCTATTTGTCAGACTCTTTACTCTCAGCTAATAGTTGATGTGCTCAAGACACATTTAATGTGGGAATGCTTTCTCTTATGGTTGGTGGTGGTTGAAATTTAATAACAGTAGTGCACAACTGTGAAAATAAATACAAAGAATATTTGGGTGCCATGATAAAATCATAATTTAACCTAAGTTTAGTATATTAAGAATCTGGCTAAATTCAGTGTAAAAACTCATGATATTCTTTGAGGTTAGAATCTCTGTCAAGCAAAAAAGATGCTGGTATAAATGCAAGAACATTCTCTGCTCAATATTCATGGTTGTAATTTTATTTCAACATGACATGTTTTGCTTCTGTGCCTAAAAATGAAGTTAAAAATGTGTTTTGTTTTGTTTTTTTTTCCCTGTTTATAGATCCTCCACCTGTTCAGTTGATTGTCCAGTTTTTAGAGCAGGCTTCTAAGCCATCAGTGAATGAGCAGAACCAGGTCCAGCCTCCACCTGATAACAAGAGAAACCGTATTTTAAAACTTCTTGCTCTTAAAGTTGCTGCACACTTAAAGTGGGATTTGGATGTACTAGAGAAAAGGTATTGCTTATACATTTCAGGTTGAAAATCTTAAACTACAATGTGGCCCAAGTTCTGTTTTTTAACAAGTTGGAAATGGATCCTATTCTGTATTCCAACTGAGACATTTCAAAAGAAAGTTTGGTGTGTGGTAGGAGAAGGAATTTAACAGTTCAGTCAACTATAATAGTTCCATCTGTTTATAAGTAGGTAAAACAAGACTCTTGATCAGGGGTTCTCAAATTGGAGGTCGGGACCCTTGGGGGTTGTGAGGTTATTACATGGGGGGTCACGAGCTGTCAACCTCCACCCCAAACCCAGCTTGCCTCCAGCATTTATAATGGTGTTAAATATATTAAAAAGTGTGTTTAATTTACTAGTGGGGGTCGCACTCAGAGGCTTGCTGTGTGAAAGGGGTCTCCAATAAAAAAGTTTGAGACCCACTGCTCTTGATGATGTAAGGAAGCCAGGCCATAAACAGGGATGTTGCAACTCCCACAAGTGAATTATTATTATTAGTAGCAGTAATTGTAATTTTAAAAAGAAAAACAGCAAACCTTATAAGATGTTCACATTCCTAACCTCTGTAACTGTATGCTCTTATTGTTGTAACCTTTGTCCTTCTCCACCTTCTCACTGTTTATTACATATGTTTAATGTTGGATTGTAAGCTTTACAAAGCTTATTTTGAAGCTTGGATGCCATAAAAATAACATTGGTTTCAAGTAGATTCACTAGAAAACTAAAAATTCACATAATTTCCTTGTCTTGTAGGAGTAATTGATTTTGCTGAAGTAGTATAAAGAAAGCTTAATTTTCATGAAGACTTAAAGAAGCTTGCTATCTTTATAAGCATATTGGGCCATACGGCAGTCTTCAAACTAATTTTTATATAGGTGGGATGGGGTATTCATAAACAAGTTATTCTTTCTCACCAAACTCTGATGTTTGAATATTTATAAGTCATGCTTTCTTGTGTATTCCACATTTTCAGGTAATGTGGTGTAATGAGCAGAGCAGGGGCCTATGAGTTAGTGTCCTTGGTTCTAAATTTCCAGCTTTGTTAATTTCTGTTACTCAGTTTCCTCACGTGTTGGGTATAGTATTTATTTGTACTGCTGGAATGTTGTAAAGCTTAATTAACGTCTGTAAAAGTGCTATGAGGTTCTCCTCTATAAATCTCTGCATTTATGTAGCACTTTAATCATAATCTTTATGGTCATGATTAGATACCAAAAACCACAATAATATATGAGCTATAATACTATTACTGCAAAAACGTATTTTTAATTTAATTCTAAATATACTGTAGAAGTCAAGATGAACATAGGAAAGCATTGATTGTGCTTGACTTTCAAACTGGGTCTCCAATTTTGCAGGCACACCTTTGTATTTGTAATTAATTCATGTGTTTTTTGCAGTCAATTTATCAAGGGTTCTGATTCACAGCTACAAAAAATAGAGGCCAGTTTTGAAAATTGTCTCCTTAATGTAACACAACCTTGAGCTGATGCAGGACTTCATAGACTCACTTTGTCCCTCTAAACTGGTCCTGTCTTAATTTAAAATCTTTCCCTAATAGGGAGAAACTAAAATATGATCCCTCATCCTATTAACTGATTCATGAATAACTATGGGTGTTATTGTCCTAAGGCTTCATAATCAGGACCCATACCTTGGGGTTTCAACTGCCTATGCTAGGTTACACAGCTGCATTTAAAGAGATTTAGTGGCATGCTCCAGGGGTTCTCAAACTGGGTCAGGACTCCAAAGTGGGTCATGACCCCATTTTAATGGGTCTCCAGGGCTGGCGTTAGACTTGCTGGGGCCTGATGCCGAAACCCAAACCCCACCGCCCCGGGGCAACGGAGCTTGCGGTGGACTCAGGCTTCCGTTTCCCATCCTGGGGTCATATAGTAATTTTTCTTGTCAGAAAGGGGTTATGATGCAATGAACTTTAAGAACCGCTGTCATACTCTGATCCCAGTCTGCATTACAGCTTCATCCAGGGTGAATCATGGGTCTCATTTTTGCCAAGATAGACAAGATTCCTGGACCTCTCATATTAAAAGTAGATTAATTGGCATGACTTTCAATATTGTATAGCGTGACAACATATAGATCAGTCTGTTATTTGTTGACGACTAAAAAAATCAATCAAGTATTTCAGAATCAGGTTGTAGTTACTAAATATGCATGTAGAATTGGTTGCTTTGGGGCTGTTACGAATGTTACTGTGTATTATGTAGTGGTATTTTTCTGAAGTCTTAAAGTAAATGACTAGCTTATGTACCCTAACTTCAAATGCTTCTCTTACAGAGAAATCTGAATTAGTAACCATGGTATTTTCAGTTGCATAGCAGTGAATTTTAGAATCCTAGTATGGGGCTTTCCTGACTTTTCAGGGGAACTATATTGTTTTATCAGAGTAAGACCGTGATTGTACCAACTAATGCCCATCACCTGTGTTATATATGTTCAAACTTATAATGGACTATGTGCCACTCTAGCCCCCAGTCTTAAACCATTGTGTGGTAGTGTGCGCAACTGAATATGAGGCAAATAGAAGTAGCACATAGTTGCTTCTTGTTATAGGGGTCCACTCCTACTCTCAATGAGAGTTTTGTCATTTTCTTTGTGGGAGCAGGATCTGACACTGGTTTGGGAGGAAGAACTTATCAGTGTGTGGGAGTCACTGCTATAGAGGAGCAAATTACTCTTACTTTCCTGGGGAATTATGGATCAATTTAAGTAATATGCCCTGCATTGACTAGTTCTGTCTTATCTAAACATATTAGAAGTAGGACTTCTACGTGAAATGTACAATCCTCTTTTTCTTGTTTTTTAGCTTGTCTGTTCCTGTACTGAATATGTTGCTGAATGAACTACTATGCATTAGCAAAGTTCCTCCAGGAACTAAACATGTAGATGTGGACCTATCCAGTTTACCTCCAACCACTGCAATGGCTATACTGCTCTACAATAGATGGTAATCTAACTCTCTCCTTTGAGCTATTTTCATAGGTCAAATACAGAAAGAAAAGTTAATTAATCCTATTTAAATTTAATATTGATTCTAAATTAGGCTGTTCAGAGAAGTGTCGAACTTCTGTCTTTAATGGGCGTTGGTGGGGGTGGGTGTACGTGCATGCACAAAAGTACACATGTTTTACTTTGCTAACAGTTTTAGTTTGAGATTTATATTTCATGTTGAGTTTGCACACCTTATCTAAATATAGATAAGTAAACAAAGATTAAATTTAATGTATAGCGTTGTTAATATTCTGCTCTTTTATACTTTTTGAAGTCACCTGGATGAGTGCAACAAGTGGGTAGGTCTGAAGAGGCCTTAGAAAGAAAATATGCGTCATGTAACAGAATATTGAACATAGATGTTTGTAGTATGTTGGCTACTGAATTATATGTCTTAAATACTCTTATGCAGAGAATGTGTACAAGTTGTCAGGTTTTCTAAACTGAGGGGTATTTTTAGCATGCATTGTGCTCTGCATATCACATGTTAACGAGAATAACAAACGATTGTGCTTAATTTTTTTTCACTTTTTTCCCCCTATAGGGCTATTAGGACCATTGTCCAAAGTAGTTTTCCAGTAAAACAAGTGAAACCTGGTCCACCTCAGTTAAGTGTGTAAGTCAGTGAATGTTATTGACATCACATTTATTGAGCGTTGTATAGTTCAGAAGCTGAATTTTCAGTTTGACGATGGCACGTTAATAGCCTATAGAAGATTAAAATTATGAATTAGTGTACTCTTGAAACACATATAAAATGAATGTATTCAGAATAAATCTTAAAAATATATTTGTTTGTTAAATATGTTCCAATTATATATGATCTGTGTAGCCTGACAGAGAACTTAGAAAATCATGGAGGAAAGGGAGGCAGGTGTTTTTCACTCTGACTAGTAGGCTTAGGCCTCAGTCTAGTCTGAGTTGGGTACATTTTTAAGTCTCTGGGTTTACTTATACCAGGCTGGTTAAATGAGTCAGGTCATATTGTTCCAGACTGTCAGATTGAGAATCCACTGAGCTATTGGATTACTCATCTGCAAGAATAAATCTTGTTTTCTTCATTAGCTCACAGGTTATTTCATTAGACATTTTGTATACTTAAATATAAATATAAAAATCTAAATTTTTTTGAGCAAAATATATAAGGTTTTTTTAAAAACTGCCTCTTGGATTGACTTTTTTTACACTGTAAATCCCTGTAAATTGCATTGTCAAAATACTGTCAGCTTTATAGTCAGGAAGTCTGTTTATGAAAAGCAATTATTTATTTTGTAAAACAGAGGATAGATGCTAACTTTAGAGGCGTAGCATACTTTGCCATGTATTAAGAAAAATCCTCATTATATGCATATATTAGATTTTTTTTTTTAAAACCTCCTATGTCTGTCTCTGAGACTAAACTGATCATTTAATGGGAAGATTCTCTATGAAGAAATCAGTTAAAATATCCAATAATTTTAAAATAACAATTCATCAGTTCCTGCAAAAGCATATTTATTAATTGTGAAGTGCAAAGGTACTGTAGGTGTTTAAGGGATTGGACTACATTACTAGTTAATGTAGTTGTTGTTTTCTCCTATAATTAGGATTGTGACCTGCCATCTAAAAACCTTTTTTTTTTTTTTTCCCGTCAGAATGAATCAGATACAGCAGGAAAAGGAACTTACAGAAAATATTTTAAAAGTGGTGAGTGTTTTTCCTTTATTTTTGTTTAGATTTCAGACATAGATGTGAGTGTACCAAAGGGTTTAACTAGTAGAGGTGCAATGTAAAATATATATATATTTTGCATCAGAGTATTTTAACTTCAGTCTTTTACAAGATATCATGTTGGTTAATAAGCTTTTTCACTTATTTGTATATCTGGGTTTTTCTGTTTTATTATTCCACTACTTTTATAATGGATACTGATCTCTGGATAATGTAAAAAAAAACTTGCTTTGTGTAGTGAAAACGTTTTTTATGGCAGTCTTTTTGTGCTCACACATATAAGAGTAAACATAGAGGGGGGTGTAGTCATGTGAGAGTGATAATTACATGACTGAATGCTTATGCTTTGAAATTGAATGGCAGCAAAAAGGAAAATAGATACATGTACCTACCGTATATACTCGTTCATAACTCGAATATTTTTGGTAAAAAAATGACGCATCAAAGAGCGGGGGTCAGCTTATAAACGGCTCTACACCAAAATTTGATGATTTTAAACTCTATGGAATCATTGAATTGAATATCTAATACATTGTTGTTTACCTGGAGCGTCTGCAGGCATGGAGCCCCTCAGCTCCCTGCAGCTGCGGTTCGCCATTCCCAGCCAGTGGGAGCTGTGGGAAGTGGCGCGCCAGGTAAACAAAACGTCCCACCAGTGGCTTACCCTGACAGGCCGGGAGTCAGTTTGCCGACCCGTTTATTGATGTCAATACTACAGCCTTTTAAAGTTTCAAAGGCTTTGTTTAGTGGACCAGATTGGCTTGAAATGGACCTCATAAGTCTCGAGCCAATATGAAAATATAACGTGCAGAATCGATGGAATAAAATTGAAATAGCCGGTTATCCCTACAGACATGCCAGTCTACAGGGCTGCTTTGAAATAAACGAAGAACAATAATAATTTGACAGTGATAAAGCAGGTGACATTCCTATGTAAAGTCCTACAAAATCTATAACTACAATAATAATCTATTTTCATACTAGTATTTAAAATGAACAACGGAGAAATCAAAAGAAAAAGGTCTTCTTATCATGCAGCGTTCAAACTTAAAGTTGTTGAATATGCAGAAGCAAACAATAATTGTGCTGCTGCTCGTGAATTCTGTATCAATGAGAAGCAAGTAAGAGAATGGCGAAAAAATAAAACACTAAAAGACATGCCAAGAAGCAAGAAAAAATGTCCAACGAGTTGCGCTTCATTTCCTGAGCTAGAGAAAGCTCTCAATAATTGGGTTGTTGATGTCGACAAAATGGGTACATTTCACTAGAACTGGAATTCGTCTGCGTGCTCTGCAAATGTCAAAAGACGACAAATACAAGTCAGTAAAGCCGTCAATGTTTGTCGCATCAGCGGGTTGGTGTACTCGCTTCACGAACCCTCATGGTCTCTGTCTTTGTCAGCGAACAAAGATAGTGCAAAAGCTGCCTATAGATCTGAAAGAAAAAATCGAATCTTTCCAAAGGTTTATTATAAAATATCGAAAGGAATATGCATTTGAATTGTCCATGTTTCCTATTTGTGACGAAACACCAATGACATTCGATCTCCTGAGCAACAGAACGATAACTGGTGTTGATGAAAAAACAGTTTTAATTAAAACCACTGTCCATGAAAAAATCCATTTTATGGTGGTTTTATCATGTTTGGCAAATGGATCAAAGCTCCCTCCTGTTGTTGTTTTTAGAAGAAAAACCTTTGAAGGATTTTAAGACTTTTTAAAGTCTCGTACTGTTCTAAATTACTTGTTTTAAATATCCATTTACTGATTTTAAATATTGACTGTAATTTTGAAGGTGAATACATATTTGTTCAGTTATTATTATAACAGGTTTTTCGTTAGATTACATTAAAATAATTCTAGCAAAACTTTTGAGTGTTTCTTATGATGCCAGCTTTTAAAATATAGCAGGGGTCGGCAAACTTTGGCTCCCGGCCCGTCAGGGTAAGCCGCTGGCGGGTCGAGACGTTTTGTTTACTTGGAGCGTCTGCAGGCACAGAGCCCCTCAGTTCCCAGTGTCCGCGGTTTGCCGTTTCCAGCCAATGGGAGCTGCGGGAAGTGGCGCCATTTCCCACAGCTCCCATTGGCTGGGGAACGGCAAATCGCGGACACTGGGAGCTGAGGGGCTCTGTGCCTGCAGACGCTCCAAGTAAACAAAACGTCCCAACCCGCCGGCTTACCCTGATGGGCTGGGAGCCAAAGTTTTCCAACCTCTGAAATACAGGGTCGGCTTTTGAAAGGGTCATACAGTTTTTGCTATTTTTACCTAACTATCTTGGGGGGTCAGCTTATAAATGAACGGGCTAATGAACGAGTATATATGGTACTTTTAAGCTGTGGGTTCTTTTTTTAGAATTCATCACTCACATGCTTCATATATCTAGCTCTCAACTGTCAGTCCAGTGGTGCATAATGTGTTCTACTTTTTGTGGGGAGTAGAAGGGTAGGAAGAATACTCTCCAAATTTGTGATAGTTGACATAGTTGAATTTATTGCTATGAAAACTTTTTTAAAAGAAAATGAAAACTTTGCATTACTATGTTGAACTGATTTCTTCTGTGGTTTGTTTCCATTATTTTTCATGACTCTTTTCCAGATATGGGAAAATGCTTTTAAAAAGCCAATTTCTATAGTGTCTCTTAGACAAATTGCACAATTTTTATTTACTGACATAATTATGTATACAGTGCTGCAAATGTAAATAATTTTGAACAGGAAATTAAAATAATTCGCCTGTCCTATTTAAGCCTTCTGATAAGTCTCACTATTTTTTAATTCTTCAGGAAACCTTATTCTGAAAAAGATCCTATGTGAAAATTTGCCAAAAATTGAGATTTGTAAAAATAAGATCTCAGTATTTAGGACCAAAAAAGGCTATTTTACCTTTGCTTTCTTTTTAAAAAAAATTCAAATGGTTTATTTTTAATAAGTGAAACATTCAGATGAGGTGTCTACAACCCAACCATTGTAACTTGCTAATACACTGGAAACTGACTAAAATCAGGAAGTGAAGCTGACAAAAAGAAATTGTACAGTAGAAAAACTTGACAACTTGAACAAAATATAAAAATGAATGTCATAGATGGTGAAAAGTAAGGATCCAACCTTGCATTCAGTGAGTGCCAAAAACTCTCATTGACTTCTGTGGGAATTTTGGATGCACAAGAAATGCCGGATCAGATGCTACATTAGACTTTTACAATTGAAATTTTAATAATAGGATATCTGTAACACAGGTAAGGAGTATGATGGTTTTTGTTTGTTTAATATGTGAATTTAAACTAAGCTTGATTAGAGAATAACTTGATTTTTAAAATGCACTTAAATTATTTTAGCTGAAAGAGCAGGCTGCTGATTCCATCCTGGTGCTAGAAGCAGCACTTAAATTAAACAAAGATCTTTATGTCCACACTATAAGAACTCTGGATTTATTAGCCATGGAGCCCGGTATGGTGAATGGAGAAACGGAGAGTTCCACAGCTGGATTGAAAATCAGTACTGAGGAAATGCAATGCCAGGTACATTAAGTACTAAACTAAAAGCTTGCAACTTTTTATATTCCTTTTTTTTTTTCTCTCTAGACAAAGTCACTGAAGTGTTGTTACAGTCTAAATTAGAACATTCTACAATTTTAACTTTTTGTCCTCAATTAATCCAAATAAGATTTGTTGCTTCAGTTTTTTAAAATACATTAAAGCTGTTTCAGCGCTGTAGACCTACTATTGTTCATACTTTCCCTCATAACCCCCCCCCCTTTTTTTTTCTTTAGAGAAAAGAGAAGGAGAGGACTTGAGCCTTGATGTTGACATGGAAAGTTATAATAGAATTAGGGCTGTCACTTAATTGCAGTTAAATCGCATGATTAACTAAAAAAAATAAATTGCCATTTAAATAGTTAATTACAATTATTTGCAGTTTTAATCGCACTGTTAAACAATAGAATACCATTTGAAATTTAATAAATATTTTTGGATGTTTTTCTACATTTTCAAATACACCTCTACCCCGATATAACGCGGTCATCAGGAGCCAAAAAATCTCACCATGTTATAGGTGAGACCGTGCCATATCTGGGTAGGGAGAGGAACTGCTCCCCGCCCCAGCTCCCCTCCGACTCCTCCCTGAGCCTGCCACCGCCTCCTCCCTGAGCGTGCCACCGCTGCTCCGCTTCTCCCTCCCTTCCAGGCTTGCCGCGCCAATCAGCTGTTTGGCACGGGAAGCCTTGGAGGGAGGAGAAGCGGAGCTGAGCAGTGTGCTCGTGGGAGGAGGCGGCGGAGCGGAGGTGAGCTAGGGCGGGGAGTGGTTCCTCTGCGCCCCCCCCTTACTTGCTGCAGCCCCCTTGCCCCAGCTCACCTCCGCTCCGCCTCTGCCTCCTCCCACGAGCGTGCCGCAGCTCCACTTCTCCTCCCTCCCAGGCTTGCCACACCAAACAGCTGATTGTCGCGGCAAGCCAGGGAGGGAAGGGGGAGAAGCAGAGCTGTGGTGCGCTCGCGGGAGGAGGCAGAGCAGAAGTGAGCTGGGGTGTGGGGGCCCGGGGAGGGCCACAGCAAGTAACGGGCGGGCGCAGAGGAATCGCGGTAACACGAATTCGGATATAACAAGGTAAAGCAGCCCCGTCCCCCGGAGCGCTGCTTTACCATGTTATATCCGAATTCGCGTTATATCAGACCGCATTATATCGGGGTAGAGGTGTATATTGATTTCAGTTACAACACAGAATACAAAGTGTACAGGGCTCATTTTGTATTTATTTTTTATTACAAATATTTGCACTGTAAAAGCAACAAAAAAAATAGTATTTTTCAGTTCATCACGTACAAGTATGGTAGTGCAGTCTCTTTATTGTGAAAGTGCAGCTCACATTGTAGATTTTTTGTTACATAGCTGCACTCAAAAACAAAACAATGTAAAACTTTAGAGCCTACAAGTCCACTCAGTCCTACCTTTTGTTCAGCCAATCCTTCAGACAAAGAAGTTTGTTTACATTTACAGGAGATAGTGCTGCCCTCTTTTTATTTACAATGTCACCTGAAAGTGAGAACAGGCGTTCACATGGCACTTCTGTAGCTGGTATTGCAAGGTATTTATATCCCAGATATGCTAAACATTCGTATGCCCCTTCATGCTTCAGCCACCATTCCAGAGGACATGCTTCCATGCTGATGATGCTTGTTTTAAATAAAATGCATGAATTAAATTTGTGGCTGAACAACTTGGGGGAGAATTGTATGTCTCCTGCTCTGTTTTACCCGCATTCTGCCATATATTTCATGTTATAGCAGTCTCAGATGATGACTCAGCATATGTTGTTCGTTTTAAGAACACTTTCACAGCACTTTCACTTTCGACAAAAGAAGGTACCAATGTGAGCTTTCTAAAAATAGCTACAGCACTCAACCCAATTTCTAAGAATCTGAAGTGCCTTCCAAAATCTGAGAGGGATGAGGTGTGGAGCATGCTTTCAGAAGTCTCAAAAGAACAATACTCCGATGCGGAAACTACAGAACCCGAACCACCAAAAAGGAAAATTAGCCTTCTGCTGGTGGCATCTGACTCAGGTGATGAAAATGAACCAGCGTTGGTCCGCACTGCTTTGGATCATTATTGAGCAGTACCCGTCGTCAGTATGGACGCATGTCCTCTGGAATGGTGGTTGAAGCATGAAGGGACATAGGAATCTTTAGCGCATCTGGCACGTAAATATCTTGCGACGCTGGCTACAACAGTGCCATGCAAACGCCTGTTCTCACTTTCAGGTGACATAGTAAACAAGAAGCGGGCAGCATTATCTCCTGCAAATGTCTGAGTGATTGGCTGAACAAGAGGTAGGACTAAGTGGACTTGTAGGCTTTAAAGTTTTACATTGTTTTGTTTTTGAATGCACGTTTTTTTTACATAATTCTACATTTATAAGTTCAACTTTCATGATAAAGAGATTGCATTATCGTACTTGTATTAGGTGAATTGAAAAATACGGTTTCTTTTGTTTTTTACAGTGCAAATATTTATAATCAAAAATAAATATAAAGTGAGCAATGCACACTTTGTATTCTATGTTGTAATTGAAATCAATATGTTTGAAATTTAGAAAACATCAACAAATATTTAAATAAACGGTATTCTATATTGTTTAACAGCACAATTAATCATGCAATTAATCACGATTAATTTTTTTAATCGCTTGACAACTCTAAATAGAATCCTATTGTTTTCTACAGAAATGCACAGGCTATACAAACACATAATAAGCTACGTTTCCTGTTCTGACGAGCTCGCAGTATAAAAAGACAGAAAACAAATGAAGGAAATAGGAAAACTTAAACAACATATCAACAAATTAAATAGAAGTGGGAGTAGTTTAAAATATGTATAAAAATATCAACCTGAAACACTTACCTTAAAATGTGTTTGCTTATTTTTTAACTTAACTTACTGTTTGATATCAAATAATGATCGTTGCAGGTCTGTTATGATTTGGGGGCAGTCTACTTCCAGCAAGGCTCCACAAATGCAGCTGTTTATGAAAATGCCAAGGAGAAGTTTTTTAGAACAAAAGAATTGATTTCAAAGGTAAGCTTGATCATAGGTTATGTTCAAACATTAGAGGTCTAGAAACTGAATCTCCTTGAAAGCCAGCATACTAAACATAGCTTAAAAGATTGATTAATTTTTTTCAAGAACTACCTAAAAACTCCTCCAACACAGTGCTTAAACTCAAGCTTCAGCAATTTCAGAGGTATGTTTCCCCGAAGTTAAGTGAATGGACTTCCACTGGTCTCTAGTGTCTCAAATCTGTGTTGGATAAAACCAGTTTTATAGTATATAAACCCCTTTAGTTCTTACACACTCAAATGCTATGGTAATGAACATGGTGTATATGCCTTTCCCTTCATACTCTTGCAGGCAGCAGTCCCCTATGCAGTTTTGAACATGACTGACTAGCCTATGGCCTGCAAATTTGTGTGTTTATAGAGGTTTCTGAGATTACAATTCCAAATGTTGGTGATCTGGTCAGTGGATGAAATATAGGATTGGACATCTTTCCAGTTACAGTGTGATGTTCTTGTATGTATAAAGATAGCCATAGAAAGGTTATGGCATTTTTTGCTCAAAAATCAAACAAGAACACTTCTTTTAGATGGTACCTCTTCAAAATGAACATGTATGTGTGCTCCAAAGAGAGTTTGACAGGTATGGTTTCTTTTAGGTGTAATTGCAGATCTGACAGACAGCTCACTTAGTTTTTTATAAAGTTCTCCACTTGTTGAAACTCTCCTTTTTTAGAAAGCAGTTGTCATCTCTCTGGTTTGATTGCCTATCTTGTATGGTATATATTCACTGAACATTGAACTTGTAGTAGAAAACTATTGATCTGTAGATTTAAATAACTTTGCGGTGAGCAGCAATACTATAGCTGTGTCTCTGGTTTGGCAGTGCTTGCTGAAGACTTTTCTCTGCTCGAGATAAACAATTTCCCATTGTAAATTTGTGTGCGTTATAAAACCACTTTTCAAAAAACAAAACTTTACTGGAAAGAATCCCGTACTTCCACGCTTCTTAATAGTGTCTGCCATTGATACAAGAATATTCCCCTGTGGACTTTCTCACTTCAGCATCAAATATTCTGAGGAAAGTTTTGGTGTTCTGCATATTTCCTACTGTAGTTGAGAAGGTGACAGGCAATTGTTAGGCAAATTTCCATCTCAGGTAAAGCGTTTTGTTTTGTTTGGATTGTTTACCAAAATAGAATTGAGATGGAAGAATCCTGGAAAAAGACCACAAATTGTCTTAGGCTATCCAGCTCAGCTCTTTTGTCAGCATATTTTACCATGCCTCATATATGCTGATATCATTTCATCTTACTTTATCATCAGAAATCTGGTTGGCAAATGTGCCTTTTTACAAGAGGAAAATGTTTTTATCTACCTTAGATGAGCTTGCTTTAAGTTGATTTGAGGTTATAGAATTTCCAGCAGTTGAGAGAAGAACTTGTGGTTGATGCCATTGTTAGAAGTTGTCTCCCTCAACTAAATCATTGCATTTCAGTCCAGAATTAGCTAAAACTGTTCTCATGCAAAAACCACAAACTTAAAATAACAAAAAAAAAACACTTTTTTTTTTTTCTTCAGATATCTTTTAGGACTTGAGACTAGAACTTACATTTTGTTTATCAACTCATTTTTTCTCTTCTGTCTCTTTAAAACAACTTAAACTACAGTTGTACTCCAGATAGTAGTAGAATTTTGACCTCTTTTAAAGATATAAACTCCATTAATGTGGCTGTTTTTAAACAGAAGCTTTGTCTCTATCGGCCACCTTCTCTTGTTTTTTGATTCATTCAGTTAGAGGAAGCTTATTTTAAAAAAGGGAAAGCTCATGTTGTTTAAATGTAGAAGTTGTGTTAATACAGTGCTAAAGTTATACTAGTTTAAAATCATTTAGAAAATTTAAAAGTTTAGATTTCCACAGTAGTAATGCCTTGGCTGTACAGCACACTCTGTGTTCTTTGCTATTGTAGCAGTAATATGTTAAACTACATATTTAAGAACGATAAACAGGAATAGGAGATACATGTGCAATGTGGCTGTTAACGTTGCTGTAGAAATCCATAACTTTCATTTCCTGCTTCTGATTTTTTTAAATTAAAAACTTAATATTCCATTCATTTTACGATGTGGGTTTATTTATTTGAATTTAGTTTTGTAGTTCTTCTAAGGTCCTGGAGGGAGGCGGCAAAAGGGGGAAATTAAAATGGGCACTAGTTCAGTGTGCAAGTTTATCTTATCAGTGATCAACTTGGACCAAACTTTCAATATTACTAAAACAACCTTTCATAAAAATCTAAGATGATAGAAATGTTTCCACAGTTTAAAAACATTTTCCTGCCTCACTGTGAATCCAAATATGAAATCATAATGAAACTGGCATTTCTGTCCGCTTGGTCAGTGAAAAATCAAATGGTAAGAGCACATGTGAATAAAAAAAACAAACTGATTTTTTTTTTAAATTCTTTTGCTTTTATTTAATATTGATAATTCCTTAAAATAGAAGTTGTGAATGTTCAGCATTGCTCAGAAGTAAGCCCATAATTATTCATAGAATCTAGGTAGCTAAAATTTGATGTGTTCTTATTTTTGCAGATTGGTTCATCATCACTTCATTGCACCATAGATGAGAAGAGGTTAGCTGGGTACTGTCAAGCTTGTGGAGTTCTTACATCATCTTCCAATAGCACATCACAACAGTCAACTCCTTATAGTCAAATCCATTGCTGTATGAGATGTGGCAACTATCAGGTAAAGTACTGGAAAAGCAATTTGGAGTCTTTTGACTTGAATGAGTTCATATCTAAGATTTCTTCTTTAAGTAGTATCCACCGTAGGTGTGCTTGCGTCCCTGTGCTGCTGATCAGAGAACTTTGGTAGCAGTGTCCCTCAGCTCGCACATGTGCGGTCTCTCGCCATACCCTGCCATGAGGCTATTCAGCGCATGGGCTAACCCACCTCATTTTTTTCGCAACTGCCCTGGCTAGATCATTACTTTCTATTTGCATGTCTATGGTTGGTTAGTATAGTTGTGGTTTTTCTTTACTCTTCCCCCCCCCCTTTTTTAAATTTTATTTATTTTCCCCCCTGCTTTTCTTTTCCTCGTTGGGGACCCTTCACCCTATGGGGTATGCCCGGTTCACCATCTCCAAGAAGTGCCTCACTTGCAAGGAAACAATCCTGGTTACAGACAAGCACTCCCAGTGCGTTTGCTGCCTCAGGGAAGGCCACATCCAACAGAAGTGTGGTTTCTGCCAGCAACTCAGGCCACGGTCACGTAAGGATAGAGAGCTCCGACAAGATTATCTTCATGCAGGTGGCGCTCAGACCCTCTCAGTACCCATGTCACAAGTCACCTGGTAGACATGAGTCATCCCCAAATCCCTCTATTTCTAAAGGCTGTGAGTCGAAGAAGCAAGCTGCTGACCCTTCTCAAGTCATCAAAGAAGAGAGTGGGAAGCACCCATAGTGAGCCCTAAGATAGCCATAAGTGATCTCCATCCAGCTCTGTATCTTTGGCACCAAGACGGTCCTAGTCTGGTACCCACAGCTCTCAGAAACTGACAGCAGCAGGTACTGTTGACATGCCCACAGACCTAATGGGCACTGGCACCGAGTGGTTGGCACCAGGGGACACGAGTAAGCACTCCACTAAAAAGGTATTCCTGGTATGCGAGTCTGTATCAGTACCATCATTAACGCCTCATCCAGCACCAGAGCGACCGGTACAGGCAAGATCCCCGGCACCCCACCATCAGCACCGAGCTGGTCAGTACTGGAAGAATTCCACCATTCCAGGTACCTCTGCGTATCAGACATAACCGGAGTCCCTGCTTCTCAGTACTGGGATCTCCACACCAAACCTCTGCCTAGCACAGGAATCATCCCTGCTGCCATGCATGCTCCCCCCACTCTAGCGAGAGTTCAGACAGTGACCAAAGGTGGTAGTGTGTCAGTACTCCTCTCAGGCTCAGTACGGTACTCAATATACCCTCAGATCACCCCATCATCATTATCCTGGTATGGCCGCCCATGGGTACCACTGCTGGGCTCTGTCACCACCACCCCAGTGGCCATATTGGGACCTGTGGGTGCCATATTGCCAGCATGCCTCTCGAACTTCAAGCCTCACCCATGAACCCTCAAGGCACACCCCCTTGGCCTCAGCATCCAGAGCTTTGGCGCCTCCAGAAGACATCCTGGAGGAACCTCGAGGACCATATCCTCCTCCCTGGACGAAGCTGTCAGGCGTTCCCCACCATCTCTGGCTGACGGCTTTTGTCTCTTCCAGGATTGGGCAAAGAGAGTTGTAGACACTCTCCAAATACTCTGGAGGAAGTCAAGGACACTCACCATCATCTCCTTGACATTCTCCATTCAGCCTCTTCCTCAAATATAGCCCTTTCTATTAATGAGGCCATCTTGTACCCGGCAAGAACCATCTGGCAAACTCCAGTATCAGTAGCGCCTGCCTGCAAGTGGGAGGACAAAAAATTTTATGTCCCAGCTAAGGAATCTGAATTCCTCTTCTCCCGCCCTCTACCCAACTCTGTCATAGTGGGTACCGTCACCTCCCATGGCCATCAACACCAGATGGGGTCCACTCCTTGTGATAGGGACTGCACATGCCCGGACCTTTTCAAAAGAAAGATGTACTCCTCAACCACGCTTCAATTCTGTATTGCCAACTGCCAAGCCTTCACAGTGAAATATGATTATATAAATTATTGAAAACTGAATGATTTTATTGAACAGCTGCCAGTGTCACATCGTGACCAATTAAAGGCCACTATTCAGGAGGGCCAGTTAGTGGCAAAGACAACCCTCCTCCCCTCTACTTCAGAGTTCTTGTCAATCTCTTTGCGGTAGAGAAGGAACTGAGGGGGGTTACTGTGCGCTGACTAGCCTCATGGCAGGGCATGAGGAGAGAGAGCGTATGTGCAGACCTAACAGACACTACTCCAAAGTTCTCGGATCAGCAGCGCAGGGACGCAAGCACACCTACCGTGGAGCACCCACAGGGGGACATATCTTGAAGAACCATTCTTACTGCACAAGGTGAGTAACTTCCTCTTCACAGGGTAACTGTAGTATGCCATGGAGGCATTGTTACCTAGGAATTAGAGCAGTGGTGGGCAACCTGCAGCTCACGGGCCACAGGCGCCCCGTCAGGGCAAGGTGATCAGACCGTTTGTTTACATTTGCACAGCTACCCGCAGCTCCCAGTGGCCGAAGTTCGCCGTTCCCGGCCACTGGGAGCTGCGGGCAGCCATGCAAATGTAAACAAATAGTCTGGTGGCCTGCCAGCGGCTTGTCCTGATGGGCCGCAGATTGCCTACCACTGAATTAGAGGGATGTTGCAGTCAAAACTTGTAGTTTCTCTTTCCAACTTTTCTAGTGACTCACTGTGTGACTTTAATTGCTGCTTTGGTTTCCTGATCTGTAAATTGGATATAAAACCTACTTCATAAAGAAGGTGTGTGGTTTAATGAACAGTTTGTAAAGGCTTTTCAAGATCTCATTTAGGTGCAGGTTGGGCGGTGGGGACAATTTAGTTTGATCTGTTACATTTGATAGCCTCGTCTATTAATGTCTAATTAGAGAAATACTTTTTGAAATTGATACAGTATTTATCTGTTCGTGTTCTAGGAGTTAGTGAAGATTTTCCTTGAAGATAATCTAACTCTCAGTTTACCTGTTCAGTTCAGACAGTCTGTGCTGAGAGAACTCTTCCAGAAAGCACAGCAGGGGTGAGTAGTTAGCATTACTGTGCGCTGACTAGCCTCATGGCGGGGCATGAGGGGAGAGAGCGTATGTGCAGACCTAACAGACACTACTCCAAAGTTCTCGGATCAGCAGCGCACAGGGGCAGCTCTAGGTACCAGCAAAGCAAGCACGTGCTTGGGGCAGCCCATTTGCAGGGGCGGCAGGGATCCAGCATGGGATCTGAGAACCAACAGGGGGCCCTGGGAACTGTAGTTCCTTGGTTAGCTCCCTGCCTATAGAGCCAGCCCTGGAGCAGGGAAAGAACTACATTTCCCAGCATTCCCTTGGCCACTACCAACAGGAAAGAGGGGGAGGAAGTGCGGAAGCTGAGACCTCATGCTGCAGCCTGCTGTGAACGGAGAGCTGCACTGGGAAGGGTAGGGATACCATATTTTAACGTTCAAAAAATAGGACACTCCACGGGGAGGGAAGGTAGCCCCACCCTGCCACCATCCACTCCCTCCGACTGCCCCCCACAGAAACTCCAACCCATCCAACCCCCCTGCTCCCTGTCCCCTGATCACCCCCTCCCGGGACCCCTGCCCCAGCTGCCCCCCCAGGACCCCACCCCCTATCTAAGCCTCCCTTCTCCTTGTCCCCAACTGCCCCCTCCTGAGACTTCCCCCCTAGGACCCCACCCCCTACCTGTCCCCTGACAAACCCCTGGGACTCCCATGCCTATCCAACTGCTGTCTGTCCCCTGACTGCCCCCCCCC